TCCAGAGTTTTTATTTTCCAGTCTATATGTCTCCAAGAGAATAAAAAGACACTACAAGTTGAACTCTCACAATCTGTACAGACATCAGATAAAGATTTGACAGCATCTTGAGGCCTAAAATAGAAGGAGCAGGGCCAATCTTGGAGCAGAGCCAATCTTCTCATTCTATAGTAGTGCCATCCAGAATTGTGGGATTATAACATTCATCATTTTTAGCTAGATTCAAGGGCAAAAAGATGTGAAATTAGCCTGATAACTGCATCATCTTCCCAATTGTCTGTGCTCATATAAAAATATCCTATTACAAGTTTCCCTTTCTTTATTCATAGTTTTTTAAAAAAAATAATGTTTAATAAGATTATAACTAGACTATCAAAACGGCATTGTAAGCCGCCTTGAGTCTCCGGAGAAGGGCGGCATATAAATCAAATTAAAAAAAAAAGAAAGTAAAGAATCTTCACAATTTTAGAGAGCTATTTTCTGCCTGGCATGTGTAATTCTTTATCATATAATTTGTGTGCTGTTCTTTTTTAGACATAATTGTTTCTATTCTCAAGCATTAACACTGATTGACTTTAATTTAATGGGTGAAAACAAGAGGGTTGATTCTGAATTTCAGTAATTCTAATGTTCTGCAATGAGAAACTGATTAACAGATTGCCAGGTCACAACTGAGATTCTCTCTGGTCTTTGTAATGATTGATCATGCAGAAGACGCCACATTTATAATGAACACTACCCATTCTTGAGCTTTCTGCTGGGTGGTATACTTGGAATTCTGCTTGTAGAAAGGAATAAAAAGCAAAGAAAACTGTATGGACCTCTCCATGTAATTGTCTTGGCAGCAATACCAAAGTGGTTTGCCATTGCCTTCTAGCCTACAGCTATGGAATCCCAAGTATCAACCAAGTTACGTTGCAGCTTTTCAAGAGCAGCTAAGATTGACAGCAGAAGATAGGTGAAGAGCAAGGGGAAGGAAAGGATGAGGGGGAAAATGTTGCTTTTCTCTTTAAAGGAGAAGAGTGACTCTCCTTTTGTTAGCTGTTAAATCCACTAAGAATCACAGACTTACAAAGGACCAAAAGATCAACTTGACTATCAAATAGGGTTTGCCTCCTGAGTAAACAGGGAATTGATAAATCAACTGCCATTTTTTTTGTTTTACTTAATTTTATATTGCAAACAGATGAACAGAAGAGTTATAGAAAGACATTAAATTATAACAGATTTGAAGAAGGCTGTTGCATTTATTGTATTAACTTCATCTGAGACCAAATTAGGAAAAGGTAGAACAGTCACCAGTATTTTCAACATAAGGTTTGCACTGTATGTGACCACCTGGCACAAAAGCATTTTCTGCATCAGTCACTGTCTTAGAGCAGCAGTCCCCAGTCTTTTTTGGCACCAGGGGCTGGTTTTGTGGAAGACAATTTTGCCACAGACCGGGAAGGGGATGGTTTCAGTTTTGCTCACTCACCTGCTGCTCACCATCAGCTTTGCAGATTGCTCATTACAGGCCATGGCCTGGAGGTTGGGGACCCCTGCCTTAGAAGATAAGGAGGACACTCATTTGTTATACAGATAGCAGATTGCATTATCTGTTTAAAATATGAATTTTCTGGAAAATAGGAGATTGTGAATTGTAGTTCTGTCTTAGGCATGGAAGCCTGTGGGTGACCTTGGACCATCGTTCTCTCTCAGCCGAACCCACCTCGCTTGTTGCTGTGGGGAAAATAGAAGGAAGGAGTATGTGTGTTCGCCATCTTGAGTTATTTATAAAAATAAGAAAGGCGGGATTAGATAAATAAATACATGAGCCAATTTTAGATCCTTTTGCTGACGATGTATCTAAAGTAACATAAAGGCAAAGTAGAAGAGAAAACCCAAAAAGATATTTTAAATTTCCCAGACAGGAGAAAACTAATACTGGCTAGATAAAAAAATAATCTGAAGCAGAGTATATTAACCAAACCCTAAATTTTAAAATAAGAAGAAAGTATGGTTCTAATGTGGTTCTAATGCCATAGCAAGACACTTAAGCTAAATCTTATGATGTGTTATATAAAAAAAAACCCTACTTCACAAAATGAGGAACAAACTTAATTATACATAGAAATTTCCCTTATAATATTTTTTTAAATCAAGCGTTTTTAAAACTCCCCAAAGTGCTTTTTTAAGAGGCAACTGGATTGCCTTGTTTTTCTTTGAAAATGTTTCGCTTCTCATCCAAGAAGCTTCTTCAGCTCTGACTGGATGGTGGATTGCCTCTTTCCAGTTTCCTCTTGAAAAAGCACTTTTGGAATATCATGACCTGGATGACTGAGAATCTCCATAGACATTTTTAAAACTCATTCTTTCTGCTTTCAGATTGCAACAGCAAACAGAATTAACAAACATGCAGCCTTAAACCCCCTCCTATGGCCTACAAAACAATCAAAGACCCAATTTTAGCAATTAGCTTACAACATTTTATCTTCTTCTCAAACAATCAAATGACATCTAAATAAACTATAGCTATCTCCTTATCAAGCTAATAACCTAAACATAACTAAAATTTAGTGGCTGAAAAAGAATAGCATCCTCCAAATGAGTTGTCCCTGAAACAGCTATCATTATTGATCATACAATATTATTGATTAGTGAAGCCACTAATACACAAATGAAAGACAGAACTTCCACCTTATCAGTCAAATAATCTATTACCCACAAGGCATCTGCAAGTCACTTGCAAAAAAAAAAAAATCTACCTACAGGACTTTTCCGTCTAAGAACAGGTAAAGTAGGCAAGATAATAAGAATATACAATTGCACCAAACAATAAAGGTCATGTCTCTAAATATTCCTGCACTGATTATGCTACCTAGCATGGTAATATGTCTACAACCCCAAAATGAGCTGTAAGAATTCCAACATACAACATGCCAATCCTGAGCTACAGATATTCTCCTTCTCATAATGTTAATTAAAATGTGAACTGGGAACTGGGCATGGTTTATGCATTCCATACTGTCCCCCAGTACCTCAAGATTTATGTTAGGCTTATATGCCACTCTAATCTTAAACTGATTCTGAGTGGCTTATTGAACACAATATTAAGAACATAAATTATTGAAAACAACTCAACAAATACACAGTTATTAGAGAACAGTCAAATTATGTACAACACTTCCTTGAAGGAACAACAAATTCAACACCTCAGACCCTATAGGCCTGTTGAACAAAAAAGGTTTTAATTGCTTCATAAACACCCAAGTGAGTCAATATTCTGTGGTGAATAAGAACTACACAACTGAAGGCAGACTATAACACTAAATTTGGCTGCAAAATGATTGAACTGCAATGATATCTCTCCTTTCCTCAGATAATCGAATGTCTCTAACTCAAAGTGCACAGGAAACTTTCTGAATCTTGATTAAGTCTAATCTCTGGCTTTATCTCAGACAAAGTACTACAGGAAATGGACGGAACTGCATCTGAAATAAACTGAATACTGAACACAGACTGAACATTTAATACTACAGGTATTCTGGCAGAATAAGATGTGATCTATTCAAGGGTGAAATGAAGAAAGGTAAGAATGTAAAATAGTATAGACATCTGGGTGACCTGAAAGAGGTTAGTAATTGCTTAATGGTACTAGCAACATTTCCCATTTTCCCACTAAAAACAGGCTGCTAAAGCATAGAAAGCTTCATATGAGCAAGAATTCTATAAAGAAAATTGAATTCAGTTCTGAAGACTCCCAAATTCAAACTATGCTCAGAGAAATTTTGAGCTTTAATTTTATGTGTGTGTCTTTTGAAGTAGGATCGACATAGAGGATAGTTTGATTTCAATAGAAAAAACTATTAAGTTTAATATTTGTTTATATTTGATGTATATAAGAGCAGGATGAGGTGAAAAAATCTTGAATTGGGAAAGCAGACAGTACAATATCAGATTGTAAAACGGTAGTGCAGAACTATATATTCATTTGTTTGTTAAAAAAGAAGTTTCTCTGCATTTGGTAAGTAGAAGAAAGTTTAATTTAAATGAATATGAATAAATTGAATTCCACATCTGCACGATGAAGCATTATAATCCATTCTACCAACTCCAATTTTTACAATTTAATCCTTTATTTGATTCTGTTGCACTGAAAGATCAAACTGGAGGAAATGTTACTTCCCTGAAAATCACAAATAGTTAAGAGAGCCTACTGAAGCTATTGCCAATAGCCTGAGGAAACTGCTCTAACAGAGCATTTATTGGAAGAATTTAGTGGAACAGTGAAATGCTCTTTTCATTCAGGGCAAACGTAAAACAAAAAACAATCACAACCTAACTTCTCTCAGCAGGCTTTGAATGATAGACATACATATATTTTGCTTTGTTTGGAACCTCCCAGACGTGCTAATTTTGTGTGCAAGTGGGAAAAAATAAATGTATGATTTTCCAGCTAGAGGGCACAGGTAGAATTTTGTAATTTGGTGAAGGGCTTTTCCTCTATACCTGGTTCTTATACAACTCCCCAATGTTGAGGCTCTCATAACGTAACACTGTTCCAGTATTCTGTAACAAAGTCCAGACTGCACTGGAGCAGCCCATGCTGTGGCTGTCCTCCTTCCTTCCGCCAGTATTAACCACTTAGAGGCACTTGTGGTGCTGTACATTCCTCCCAAATAACTTGCAGCTTCTTCCCTCGGGACTAGGTGTTCTCATTCCATCCTCCTGTATATTCAAGTCCTCCTGAAATCTGTTCTTGTTTTTGGTTATTCTGAGCTTTCAATTATTGAAAACAAGACGGTGTCTAGGATTTATGAGCTAGAAAAGAAAGGGAAAGGAAGGAAGAAAGGGAAAACTTCTGTGTGCGTGTGTGATGAGTAAATTCAGAAATTGTAACTATGGTATCCCTTTTAGAGAACTGCACAATCTGCAACACTGCAGCATCTCCATGCTGGTATATTCAGGAAACAGCTCATCTTGTAGCATCAAGCTTCAATATGCTAACACAGTCTTACCTTTTTATGGCTTTGTAGCAAATGATGAAAACTAGAAAGAGGAACACCGGTATGGCACAGCATGCGGCAATGATTATAGCTGGACTTGGCCAGGGTGCTGCAGCGGGGCAAATAGGAACGGTGGGAGCTGTAAAAGATAACACACTTAGTTGAGTCCTACCAAACACAAAGTTTATGATCTGAGGAGCTCTTTTAACCCAGAGTGAGGAGGAAATTACCAAGAAAGTCAGTTTATACCATAGAACATTCTCCACTACCTCAGGTAATAACCTCTACCGTGCTTTCTCACTACATATTATACTGTAATTCAGCAGTAGCCAACTGCTATAAAGCTACCTTAAATTCTCATTGGTCCATGCAACTCAACTTAATAACATTTAGTTTGAGTGTTGTATGAGTCCAGCCACTGTGGTTTATGAATTTGGTTTTTTTGGGGAGGGGCAGGTTTAACATGCTCAGTATATCTAGCGAATTGTGGCTCATTATTGTTAACCAAATCAGGCATAACATGATATACAAACTATTGACAATAGCTCTGCTGGGTTCAGCAAGAGCATGTCCAAGACCTATCAGGAGATGCCAATGCTTTCTGCAAATGAAACAGATGCTGTGGCACTAAGCTAAAGGTTTGTCTCTAACTTGTAAAAACACTTGAAGATCAGAAATTAAATGTCTTAACATGGATGGAAGTCCCATTTCTTAGCAGCTGCCAATCAACCAACCTTTGTTTTACCAAGTAAAAGCATGCTGCTATATCAACATATTAAACCCAATGAAGAAAAACACATCAAACATAAATGTCAAATCCTGCAACCACTGTTACAATAACCGCATGTGGAGACTTCTTTACAGGAGTTCTGGGGATAATCCTTCCCACTCCCCAAACTCCTTTTAGTTCTTATAAGGATTCTTTTCTTTTTGTCTCTTTCTAAAGCATCTGGAAATTAGGATTTCAAAACTATATATACAAAAAAGGGGTTCAGCTCTAAAAAGTGTATTTGTACTAATATTAACTAAAAGATAGATTATTTCTATTTCATTCTATCATGAAAGTGGTATAAACATGGCTGCTGAATTTAGTCCTTATCAATTTATGATAATTATATCATTAGGCAGCTAGTTGCCTAAAGCACATTACACGTCTTTATAACTATGGTAATATGAGATTTGAAACCAAAACTTCCCAAATCAAACCCAATTCATGAATTAATATATTCAAAATTAAACCTGAGTTCAGTGGGAAATATTTTTCAGGGAAGCGTGTATAGGAGGTCTTTATATAATATTTGTTTCCCAAAGAGAGTTTAATTTATTGTGAAACATTAAAGGGAAGCAACATACATTGTTAATTACTTATCAGTAATATCTTCGGGATATTACTTTAATCAACTTACAATCACAATTGAGCCCAAAATTTCTGTTGCTAAGAGAGACTGTTGTGAAGTGAATTTTGCCCCATTTTATGACTTTCCTTGCTACAGTTCTTAAGTGAATCACTGCAGTTGTTAAGTTAGTAACAAGTTTGTAAAGTGAATCTGGCCTTCCCTTCCCTTGTCAGGTCGCAAAAGGTGATCACATGATCCCAGGACACTGCAACCGTCAGCAATATGAGTCAGTTACCAAGCATCTGAATTTTGATCATGAATTGTGACCATGGGGATGCTGCAACGGTCATAAGTGTGAAAAACAGTCATAAGTCACTTATTTCAGTGCCTTTGTAACTTTGAATGGTTACTAAACGAACTGTTATAAGTCCAAAACTACCTGTACTGTTAAATATGATATTTTACTTTTTTGCAGCATACATAAAAAGTAGTTTTCTCCTAATCAAGTTACTCCATTTTCCATTTATTTTTACTACTTGATCAGACGAAACACGTTTTTGAAATTCAGCTATATATGGTCTATTAAGAGGACAGTGAAAGACCACCTTCTACATATTCCTGGAAGGTGCTATGGCCCAAAAAAGATGACTGGCCAAACATCAAATCATCCGTCATAGCACTAAGTTATCTGTCTATGACAAATATTAATAATCTTTGCCTGTTCAAGGCAAAGATTATATTTTATTTATAACATTATGCATACGCCACACAAAATATACTTTAAAATAGCACAAATCATATATTTGGACAACTTTTAAGCAATATTTATTTGGGGAGAATTATAATTGGCATATTATTATTATAAATTCTGTTGTCTAAATCTGCTGTAGGCCAAATAAAAAGACAAAGCCCATCTGAACATAGGCCATCTAAGAAATGAAGTCAGCATTAAAGAAATGATGGATCTTTAACATTTCTATTAGTGGGGATCATTTTAAATATATGTGTCTTATGTAGTATTCATGAATGCACTTCAGCGACTCCTTGGCATATCCAGAATGTCATCACATCAGCTTCGCTTCATCGTCCCTGACCCTTGGAAATGCAGCTGGCAACACCTGAGCAATCATGAAAGCCATGGAGAAGTGGATCAAATTTTATAGCAAGAGGAAAGACTGATAACAGCATTCTGGTTTTTGACATATGGCTCACAATGAACAATTCTTCGCAGGACACCAGATTGAAACAATTATTTGTGAAAACACAGATCACTGTTAGGCACTCAAAAAAGCTGGCTTCTCTGCTAGCCAGGGGACTATCCAAAAAATAATAGGTCTCAGACCAAACAGGTTTGTGGAGGGAAAGACAAACTGTGCAGACAATTTTGTGCATTCCACAAAAGAGTAAAAAATAAATTATTCCTCAAGCTGAGCTTTATTCCTAGAGAGATGTAGTTGTTGTTTCTTCAGCAAAAACACAACAGCTATGCCAGTTGCTTTCTTCCTTGATATTCCTAAAGATTTACAATGTAGTTCTTGGCCTGGGATTCTTAATGGAACCCTATCCAAAAGCTAAACAGGACTAGATTATTTTACCCTCTCTGTTGTGACAATACTTTATACTCACTTTAAATGTAACGGGAACAGATGTGGTATAATTTTGTGCTCTCTGCGAGAAATCTCTTTCCCAAGGATTGTTATCTTTGTTTTAAAGGAATTATAGAGACACATTGGGCAGAACCATCTCACATTCAATAACCTTTTTAATAAAGTTCATATTCATAATGCTTAAACCTGTAATTTAGTGGAAAAGGAGAGCAGTGAATTTGGTAAAATTGCATTTTACATACTAAAAGAAGTTAAACTTGCAGGTTGGTTTTTTTTTCCCTGTGGAATTTCCATGGAACTTGAATAATGTAAATTCCTAGCAATCACCCAGAATAATTGGAGTCAGGCAACATGTAATAATTAGCAATGACATAACACAATTGCCAGAATTATTCACTAGAATTTATATAAAAATTATCAAGTGCCAGTAATGAAAAACTGCTGGGAACACAGAGTTGAAAAAGTAACCGAAAATGAGCAGTTAAAATATTGTGGGATTTCTAAATGCTAACTGATAAGGTCTTGGTCATAACACATCAGATTTAATTGTGGTTGAAAAGAAGAAAGGGTAGATAATTGATGTGGCAATCCCAGGAGTTAGCAGAAGAGAAGACAAAGAATTGGAGATCACAAAGTATCAAGCTCTGAAAATCAAAATTGAAAGATGACATAAATCAGCTGTGTGGTGGTCCCAATGGTTATCAGCACACTGGATGCCATACCCTTCATCCCCAAAATTGGATGGCACTTAGAAAATCTGTGCATTGACAAAATTTCCATTCATCAATTACAAAAGGCCATACTGCTAGATCTCCACATATACTATATCCATACATTGCGACATCCAAGGTTCCTAGGATGACTGGATCCCCTTTGCTGAATCACCATGATCTCACAGGATGGCTAGGCAATATAGTTTAAATTACAGAGTTAGGTTTAGCATTGGTATCTCAGAGTTTTTTACTGATTACCTATGAATACCTATAAATCTATGTTTGAAACTTAAGAATTTATAACTTACTGAATATAACCAGGGGTAGGATTCAGCTGGTTTGAGCAAACCGGTAGTTGTGACCTGCGGGTGGGCCCGCCCGCCCGCCCACCCACCCAGGCACTATGCTGTCCTATTTAGCTCTGTTTTTAAAGCCATGCACATGCGTGCAAGCGCATGCAAGAGCATAGCGCATGCATAGAAGGCTGCATGCATGTGTGGAAGGCGCGCACTCACATTTTTTGTCCTGGGGCAAACCGGTTGTTAAATTATGTGAATCCCACCTCTGCATATAACTATTACCAAGTAACCACCTCTGGAAAGTTTGAAGGAGCACCTTATTGAGTTAGTTTTCAAAAATACATTTATAGTTTTAAAGCTCAGTGTTACTTATTTACTTCTTTTGGTGGACTACCTAATGAAAACAATTAAATAACAGTAAACATGGATTTCAATTAAGGCAAGTCTCAGAGTTATTTATTCATATGAAGAGCTTACAAATGATCAAATAATTCAAATTGTGAGTGTACAGACTGCAGACAGGTGTTTCCCAATATAAAATTGTTAGTGTGCTTTTTAAAACTAGTCTACTGAATACAGCTGAGCTGTTGTCCAAGGAAGCATATTTGGAACTACTCAGTAAAATATTATGGATTGCTGATCTGTGAACTAGACCAGTACCAGCAAGTTTACTGCATATAAATGAATGGATACCCATTCAGAAAACTATGTTAGCATAGACTGGATATTCTTTCATAAACTGGAATCAATGCACATTAATAAATATTATCCTAAAGGATCATTAGAAAATTATGCACACCATTCATTCTGAATTTCAAGAAGAACAAACCAGGAAAGCCCTAATCAATTCCCAGCATGGTGCCCTCCATCTGTATAAGTTTACTATCCCAATAATCCTCACTAGAATGACTCCATTGGTTGAATGTAAGGAATAGCAGCTCAGCACATCTGGATGGTCTCTGATGGGGAAAGCTGAATTAAACTACACATTCTGTCAAGGAATCATGACATTATTTTGTCAGTTCTGTTACAAAACGCATAGCAGTATAGTGCTACAATCTTTCTACAAATCTGAAGTCATTTATTAAAAATATACTTTTGACACCCCTTGATTCCATTTTTGTCAGTGAAAGTCCCCGTGGCAGATCTAAAAATAAATATAATGAATGATACTTGGAATTTC